GGCAAAGCTGACTCAGGCATTTTTGGAGATGCCAATAGTTCCAGATACTCAACCAACTGAAAAAGGCTCTGTCCAATGGAAAGGTTGGCCAACTGGCACCCGTTCGAGAATGTTGACGCATACTCAACAGCCCCTGCAGAGCCCTTCCCTTACACATCATCAAGATTCTCCTAGAAACATCCTCCACGTTGCATTGGCTGAGCCAACTGATGGCTCTGCACGTGTGCTGATCCCCATTACAAAGAAATGGCTCAAAAACCAGAGAAAGTCAAGCTGGACATTAGAACCCACCAAGCCCTGCTCCTTTGTCTTATAAAGGAGGAAACTGAACCCCAGAGAGGGGACTCAGGGTGCATAGCCAGTCAGTGGGGCAATTAGGGCTAGAACTGGGATCTCACTCAGGCTTCCTGGCCTGGGCTGTGTTTGGTGATTGAATGAAGGCATGTTCCCCAAAGAGCTCAGAGGTGAGAGAGCTATCAGTGCTGGTTGGAGAAGGCCGGGAGGACACATTCCGCAGTTCAGTGTTGGTCTGGTAGTGGTTCTAGGTTGTTGTTGATTTGAAAAGCAAAACAAAACCCAAAGTCAAACAAAAGAGGCCCTTTGTAGTGAATTGCAGCAGACAAATAAAGTTAGCCTCGCCCACCAGATGCCTGTAAGGGGAGGGAAAAACCAGCTTTTTGCCTGGCCCCCAATTCTTACTAATGATGCCCAGCTGGCTGAACTCCCTGGGCACCCCTTCTCCCTGCCAGCTGCCACTCCCCATTTAACCCCTTCTTTCTCTGGCCTCCCTTCTCTGGATAGATTGGCCCCTTTGGATGCAGTGGCCACACAGGGAGGAGGCCTTCCTGGGGGAGGGGGAAGGGCCTGGTAACAGGAGTCCTGTTTGATGGGGAAATTCAGACACAAGCTTTGAGGGGTGGGTATGTTTTCCTTTTTTCTTTCCTCATATCCCTTCCTTCTTTTCTCCTTCCTTCCTTCTGTCTTCTCCTTTCTCACTCTCTGCTCTCCCTCTTTCTTCCCATCCTAATCCTGAAATTAAATGGAAACTCTGCCAGCTCCCTGGGTGTTCTCTCCTCCGCCTGCTCTTTTTAATTATTAATGGAAATATGTTCTCATTGTCTAAGTTAATATGACTTATCTGGATCGTATTAAGGAGGAACAAGAAGATTTAGTATTGATTCCCAAGCAATATAGTTGAAAAGAACATCACCCCATCCCTAATTACTGCCAGATAATTAATTACTGGGAGACAGCTCTGGAGTCAGGCCATCCCCTCCCCACAGCAGACCTCAGGGACCCTGGGGAAGGATTTCCTCGGGTCTCTCTCCATACCTTTCTTCACCTGGCTCCTTAGGGAATTTCCCAGCATGCTTTTGGGGACTGGAAGACTGAGGTGGATGGTTGTGGGATTACTGTCTTCCATCCCATGGCCCTCTGAACAGCCATGTGGCCAGCAGGAGCCCGTTTCAAACCTTCCCTTGCTGCTGCCTGGCAGAACTGGATGTCTGGGTTCAATGATCCAGGCTCTTTCAACTTGTTTCCTCACCTGTGAAATGGGTGTGATAATAGCTACCTCTGGGAAGCTCAAATGAGATCATGATGCAAAGTGCTTTGTAAACCTTCAAATACTTTGGAAATGTGCATGATTCTTATTATTCAGAATAATAGCGATACTAATAACTAACATTTATACAGTGCTGAACACTGCTAAAATCTTTACAAGAATTATCTCATTTGACCTTCATGACAAAGCTGAGAGGTAGGTACTGTTACTATCCCCATCTTATAAATGAGCATACTGAGGCAGACAGAGGTAAAGTGACTTGCCCAGAGTCACACTGCTGGTAAGTTGCCCTCAGTTGCCACCTAGGCTCCCCTCCAACTCTAAATCTATAATCCTATCATGCAATGGGCATTCTTCATCCACTTTAGTTTCCTTGTATGGATTGTTAGGCTGATGCCTTTTGAGCAATCATGGATCTTATAGCAAAGGCCCTGTAGTCTACAGCTCAATGCAACCAGTACCATCTCTTCCATCAACTGGAGCATCTGTGTGCCCTCACCATCTATACAGAATCCTTTTTCTATTTGGATTTTGCCCAGTACATCTGCCACACCAGGGTTTGGCGAGTACATACGCCCCCTTTTTTATGCCTCAGTGATGATAACCAGAGGATTGTTGGACAGCTGGACCTCTACTGAGGAATCCTGAGTGATCTTAACATGGGGCAGGGCAGACTCCTTCTTGGGAGGAGTCCACAGGGCTCCTATTTTGCTCTAACAAGTAAAATCCTTCTTTGACGTTGAGGAAAAGGAAAATCAGTGGTTATGTTTAAATCTTCTACATCTTCAGTCAATGGGGAAGATGTGGTCTGCTGTAGAAAGTCAACTCTGCCTTCCTCTTCTCTTCTCATGTTTTCATCCAGGCTATGTACATATGTGCAGGATATGTCTCATAAAGATTTTAGGGGGATGAAAAAACAGGTATACGAGCTGGGATTTACCAATGTCTTTCAGGGCACTTTGTTCTGGTAACAATATGAGAAAGGGACAGGTGAGTTTTTACAAATGATTTTCTCCATCAGATTACTTCTTTATGGTCACACAACTGAGTAGAAGTTTTAATTATTTTTTGACTCAGAATAAGTATTTGATGCTGGAGAGTAAACCACATTAGCCATGAAGGTTCTCTCCAACAAGGGATCTCCCATGCATAATGGTAAAATTAAATAAGATTTCTTGATAAATAAAGCCACAGTGATCCTTGGAATATGACTTACCTGTATCATCTGGATAGAACACACATTTGTATGTTAACTGAGGGCATTCACCACTGTCCTGTAAGATGTCCCTCATTGGCTAAGGAGAAATCTCTCTTCCCCTTTGGACTCTATATCATAGACTCATGAGATTTATAAAATGTGTAGTAAGTATTTACAAATTAATTAGTTCAGAGCTGGAAGGAGCTTTACAGAAAATAGATTCCTTATAGATGGGGCAGTCCTACAGAAGCTTTTGAGAATGACACTGTGCTGAATGCATCATGATCCAGAACAGCAAAAGGCCCCCTGCATTAAGATTCCCTGTTATTAAGAGAAGCTAGTCTGGCCATCCACACAGGAAAGACAAAGAGGATGAGATGGGCACACTGGGCAGCTGGAGCAGCAGCCCACCACATTTGTCCTTCAGTGCACAATTCTAAGGCGAGAATTGCAGATGGATTATTTAGAACTGTATTAGAAAGGGACAGCAGCCTAGAAGGCATTTTGTCAACCGTCCCAGCATTTCCAAAAATCCCAAACTGCACCCACCACAAAAGCCAATCTCCTTCCAGTGATGGCTGAGAATTATGGTACACTCGATATTGGAGGAAACAGGCTGCCCATGACCCGAAGGACGTTGGAAAGGCACGGGTGGTATAAGCAAGCTGCCATGTGTAAAATACAAAATGTGATTGCAAAAAAGAAAGCGTGGAAACACTGTGAAGAAGGACATGGACGACTGGAAGCGGAGGTGGGCGGTCATGGAGTCACACGGCTAGTCTGGTTGCTGCATTGCTATTCATGGAGCATGAAAAGACCCTGAGGAAGGCCTTCAGGGCACTGAACAGCTTGTCTTTGGAGGGTTAATGGAAGGAATGTGGACAAGAATCACACCAGACAAGGAGGGGCGGTGGGCCGCAATGTGCCCCAGTAAAGGGGGACCTGACATTGGTGACGCCCAATGAAGGAACCGGATGAACACACTAGAGTAATGGCGGACGTGGGATGCTGGACCACAACCAGCTAAGTGACAACTTCCCTCATGCTGTCTTTGTGGACGTGGTGGAGAGATGGGGGCTAGACAGGAATACAGGTAAGTAGATCTGGAACTGGTTGAAAGAACATACCCAAAGAATACTAGCTACGAATGGCAGCTAGGTGGCGCAGTGAATAGAGTACCCGGACTGGAGTCAGGAAGACTCATCTTCATGAGTTCAAATCTGGCCTTAGACACTGACTAGCTGTGTGACCCTGGGCAAGTCACTTCACCCTGTTTGCCTCAGTTTCCTCATCTGTAAAATAAGCTGGAGAAGGAAATGGCAAACCAGTTCAGTATCTTTGCCAAGAAAACCCCAAATGGGGTCACGAAGAAATGACCTAACAATAAAAAGTGGCACACGGATAAAGTGATGGCCGTGGAGTTAGGAAGACCTGAGTTCAAATATTGCCATAGTCGCTTACTAGTTCTGTGACCGAGGGTAAGTCGCGTAAATTTTCTCAGCCTCAGCTTCTTTACCTGTAAAATGGGGATAATAATAGTACCCATCTCACATTGTTTTTGAGAATCAAATGAGATAGCAGAGGTGAAAGCCCTTGTAAATGTATCATGTATTATGTAATATACATAATATAAAATATATTAAGTAACTGTAGTGTATAAATGCTCATTATTATTTTTACTATTGTTGATAATGGTTGATCTTGAATTGGATGGCAGTCTGTAGCAGAGTGCCCCAGGGATCTATCCTCATCTCTGTTAAAGCTTAAAACTGCACTAAGACTTTTTGGGACACACGTAACATCCATGTATACACATAAATATACGCACATACACACGTTTTATACTGTCTTGTTTCCCACTGCCGTTGATAAAACAGGCTAATGAAAACACTGTATACTTTCTGCAGTCCCTTTACATGCATGATCTCAGTAGGTGCTCGTAACATTCCTGTGGGTTAGGGATCATTCCCACTTAACAGATAAGGAAGCTGAGACCCACAGTCTGGCCAAGGTCTGACAGTAAGTCAGTGACAGAAGCCAGAGCCGATCTCGGCACAAGATTCTCGCCACGGTACACGTTCCACGCCAGAAATGTCCATTTGCTTAAGACACCCCCAGACCCGGGCTCAGGAGGAAGCCCCGGGACACCCTTCGGCCCAATCCGCTTCTCGCCGCCGATTGCCAAGACACAGAGGAGTGCAGTCACTGTTTGCATGTTTCCAGTTTTTAATGCTTTCTTGTAAATCTGAACATATAAAACCAGCTGAGGAAATGGACGTCAGTTCTGTACAATTTATATACATGAGGTCTGTGATCTTAAAATTAAAAAGAAAAGTCCAGATAATTTCAAGGAGGGTCCCCGGCTGTCTGTGGCATCCGGGGGAGTGTCCTTTCTGGGCACTGTCTCGTCTACTTGGGCAGGACTTACGGGGGCCTCCTTCTGCGGCAGCGTGCTGGCGGGGGGCCAGGTCCGCGGCTCCCGGCCCACCTGTGGCTCCCGGGGGGAGTTAGTGTTGGGTTGGGAAGCTGGGGTCTGTCTGGGCTTGGGTTTCCGGAGCTCATACAGGCTTCCAGCCCGAGCTACATATGCGGGCCTGGAAGACCAGGCTGGGCCTTAGCATGGATACAATGAGAGGGAGCAAGATGGCGGGTCTTAGGTGTCGGTGTAGATGGAAGGGAGGGAATTCAAACAGGGGTCAAATGAGCCATTGGGGAAGAAGCCGTTCTCCTCTGGGCTGGTGGTGCCTGCTTCCTGGGGTCCACACGGGCCGTCTGGCAGGGTGTCATAGCCTGCCCGGAGAGAAGGGAAAAGAGCATGAGGGAGGTTGGTCAAGAAGCATTTATTGAGTGCCTACTGTATGCCAGGCACTGTGCTACGTTACACTGGAGATACCGAGAAAGGTCAAGAGCAAGCATTGAATAGGGGCGACGACACACAAGACACAGATAACAACAGTAACAACAGCTAGCACTTCTATAGTGCTCTAAGGTTTGCAGAATGACTTACAAAAATTATCCATTTGATCTTCACAACTACCCTGGACAACGAGTACTACTATTACCCCCCATTTTACAGGTCAGGAAACTGAGGCAAACAGCTGGAAAGTGACTTGTCTAGAGTAACACAGCTAGTAAGTGTCTGAGGCCAGATTTGAACTCAGGTCTTCCTGACTCCAGGCCTAGCCCCCTATCCACTATAGCGCCACCTAGTTGGAGTCATGCAACCTTATTCTGGACCCCAGATCTGTCATTTACTACCTGTGTGACTCTGGGCTTTGGTTTCCTCATCTGTCAAATGGGGGAAATAACCTTTGCACCTTACAGTCTTGTAAACTTTCACATTTCATATAGAAACGTGAGCTAATAATAACAATACCGTCATTATCATCATGTTATATTATTATAACAAATGAGGCCCAAACCACCCAAGAAATTTCAGTGAGGAGGTCACAACAAGTAACTAAAACCAAGCAGTTTCCATTCCCCAGAGCTTAGCACAGCGCCTGGCACATAGTAGGTGCTTAATGGATGCATACCGATTGACTAGTCCCCTGCCCTGGCCTGGAGGGGCGGGTCAGTCAACAAGGCTATATTGAGCACCTTCTATGTCCCAGGCTCCACGCTAAACCCTGGGGATGTAAAGAAAAGGAAAACCAGTCCCCGCCCTCAGGGAGCTTATGTTCCAGTAAACAACTCTGTAAGTTCACAGTGGGCACAGGGTGCAGTAGAGGTAAAAGCACCAGCACTGATTGGGCCTGGAAAGGCCTCCTGCAGAGGATTAGATCTGAAGGAAGCCAGAAGGTGGAGAGGAGCAGGGAAAGCACTCCGGGCATGGGGCACAGCCTGTGCAAAGCCATGGAGCTGGGAGATGAAGCACTATGTAACCCTGGATCCCAGAGTTCAGGGAAGGCTGTGAAGTGTAAGAAGACTAGAGAGGCGGGAAAGGACTGAGCAGACTGAGAGCAAGCAGAGGAGCCCTGCTCTGTGCCCGGGCTCTGACACGCCAGCTGTGTGCTCCGGAGGGTCTCCACCCCGGAACGTCCCTTCCACCCACCCGCGTCTTCCTCATCCTTCAAGACCCAGCTCCAGGCCTCTCTCCTACGGGAAGTGCTTCATGACCATCTAGCCAACCCTGAGCTACCCCTATCACTGAGCCAGGTCTGCATTCCTCACCAGCCATCACGGGCTCTGAATGAGGGGCACCATTCTGACCCTTCTTCTGGACCCCCCCAGCTCAGGGTCCCCTCCTCCAGAAAGCCCCAGTCAGTAAGAACCTTCCCTGGCAATGACGAACACACATCTCCCGTGACTTTCTGTATTACGGTCTTCTTGTCTAATCTGCTGACCAGAGTGTAAGCTCTGTGAGGGCAGGCTCCATGCCTAACCCAAACATTCTATCTCGCCCAGCACCTAGCACAGGGCTCTGCTCCACATCCAGCAAGTGGTTAATAAAGGCTAGCGCGATTGAACTGAGTCAGCCTCGTATCAGATTACAAGCTCCATGAGAGCAGGGCAGATGTTTTAGAACCGTGTGTGATCTAACCCATGTATCTTGCCCAGTGCAGGGCTTTGCATACAGCAGGTGCTTAATAAATGTTGGGTGACTAGCAGACCCAATTTGACTTTCCGTGAACCCCACAGCTGTGCCCTGTGAGGACGAGCATCAGTTACCTTGGGCTGGCAAGGGGGCACTGAGGGTGTGATAGCCATTGGCCCGCAGAGGATTAAAGCCATGGGGCTCTCCTGCCAGGCCGTCTCCACCGCCACTGCCGCCGGCTGGCTCCACCGCCCTGTAGCAGTCGCCATAGTGGAAACAGTTCTGGATGGAATGGAAGCTGCCTTGGTAGCCTGAGGAGGGAGCACCAAGAGGGAGCACGGCGTGAGCAGGCTACACATACATCTCTCCCACCTCCCAGCGCTTCTCCATCCACAGCCACCATCTTGGCTACCATGCTTCTAAAGGCAGGCTCTGGGAACTGCTTTGGATTCGGCTCAGAGGATGGGCGAGGCCTCCTTGGGCGCAGATGACAAAGGAGACGTGTCCAGTGGCTCGGACCACACACCCTGGATCCTCAGTATGGCACTAAGTTGCCATGGTGATACACACAGTACTTTGCAGTGTAAAAGACTATAATGATGCCAGCTACTCTCAGCATTTCCTGTCCTCCCTTCCTCATGCATCCTCACCTCTCTCTGACCCCTGAGACCACACTCCCAACTCCTACCTTCAAGGTTGATACTCCAGGCCTGGAACGCCCTCCCTCCCTGTTCATACCTGATGAATTACCCTCTAGCCTTTATGAGCACCACTGGTGGGGGCTCATTTCTGATCCTACCTGATACCCAGCTTTCTTGAGGACATCATCAAACCTATACCCCTAATGCTTCTTTCTTTTTTTTGGTCTAAACTTGTGATTTCAAGTACAGGAGAATTCCGGGTCTCCTCACTAATGTAAGCAGGGTACCAAAAAGTTAAGTGACTTGCCCAAAGTGACAAGGTCACTATATGCCAGAGGCAGGACGTGACTGTGTCTTCTTGACCAAGTCTGACCCTCTACCAGATACCATCCTCTACAGTCATCTCTTTCTATCTGAGCTCCATGAGGGGCTGTCTATTCAGACTTGTGACCTTTGTGATAGCGGGCAGATCCTGTGATCTATTTGGGCCTCAGTTTCCTTCTTTGTAAAAAAAGGAGCAGTTGGACCTCAGGCCTGTGAGGCCCCTCCCAGTGCAGGCATCTTCACACGGCTGCTGCTCCAGCCAGGGCTGCCTAGTTACATGATGATGCTTCTGGGCTAGGAGGTAGGAAGCAGGGAGAACGTTTCAGTGGCCGTATAATTTTCCCCTCTAAAATATTAAACATGCAATTATTACATGTGGTAATGTTGTGGTCTGAAAACAGGCTTGGCTTTCTTCCTTGTTCTCAAATTTCCCGAACCTCCATGCATCGCTATGAGAATTCCCTTTGGCTGTAGAGCCCTTCTGAGCGGTCAGGAGGCAGTGAGGTCCCTGTGACCCGAGGTGTTCAAGCCTGATCCCCAGCCAATGATGGGTTAGAGGAGATCAATCCAGGGAACGAGCCCAGATGGCCCTTTGGGATGTGATGCTAGGGGCTCTCTCTGTGACCCGTGCCCACGGCAGGCATTGGGAGGGAGCTAGGGATAATGCTCTCTCCTCTACTCTCACTGCCTCCTCCCCAGGCTCAGCCTCTCACAGGAACATGAAGGGCAATGGGGAGGCTGGCGTGGTGGGGAAGTGTGGTTTTCCTCTTTGCGATCTGAGACCGAGAGTGGTAAAATCTGTTTGCAACGGTTTCCAACCCCAAGTCGGCCCGGGTCCGTGTTTCTGCTTCTGGCAGAGGCTGCTCCACATCCCCCTTGTGGTTTTAGGGTGATTTCCCTTGTTATAGGAACATAATCATGTATTGCTGGGTGACATCATAAAGTCGGGCCAACTTAATGGAAGCAATAATGGGACAGCCAGCTCAGTTAAAATAAAATGTCAGGGCTGGGAGGGGCCTGAGAACAGGGGATGTCAGGGCTGGG